TATGTTTCTTCTTTTATTTATTTAAACAAATTCCCCGCGGAATTATAAATAATAATAAATTTTTTTTTATTTTTATAATTATTTTATAAATATTATTTTTGTTATTTTTATTTCTATTTTTATAATTATTATTTTTATTTATTTAACAAAAATAATTAACTTTTAATTAATAATTAGGGGCCATCCATAAATTACGTTACCAATTTTTCATTCTTTTTAAACCCCCTCCCCCCTGAAATACGTAACGTAGTTTATGGACGGCCCCTTAGTTAATAATTAATTAATTGTTAAATAATAATTAACAACTATTTAATTAATTGTTAATTAATAATTAACAACTGTTTAATTAATAATAATTAATTAAATTATATAATAAAATTTTTTTTATTTTTATAATTATTTTATAAATTATTTTTGTTATTTTTATTTTTATAATTATTATTTTTATTTATTTAACAAAAATAATTAACTTTTAATTAATAATTAGAGACCATCCATAAACTACGTTACCAATTTTTCATTCTTTTTAGACCCCCTCCCCCCTAAAATAGGTAACGTAGTTTATGGACGGCCCCTTAGTTAATAATTAATTAATTGTTAACTAATAATTAACAACTGTATAATTAATAATAATTATTATAATTAATTGTTAACTAATAATTAACAACTGTATAATTAATAATAATTATTATAATTAATTGTTGTTAATAATTATTATAATTGATTATTGTTAATAATTATTATAATTAATTATTGTTAATAATAATTGTAATTAATTATTGTTAATAATAATTATTGTAATTAATTATTGTTAATAATAATTATTATAATTAATTATTGTTAATAATTATTGTAATTAATTATTGTTAATAATAATTATTATAATTTATTATTGTTAATAATTATTGTAATTAATTTAAAAAAATTAATGAAATAAAAAATTAAAATCTCGCATATTTTTAATGAATATATTATAATACAATTCAAATGCAAGTATATTTTAAAATATAAATTTCAAAAAATAAATAAAATTAAGATTTATTAGCAATCTATATGAGAAAATGTAAAAAAGAAAATATGCAAAGTATGTAAATTGGAACGCAACTTTTCAAACGAAGAACTGATTGAAAGTATATGCATATATATACGTGTGCAATATTTTTCAAAAGATACGGGATATTGCATTTTCTATATCTTCTTAGACATTTTCTACTTTATATTTTCAAAAAAAAAGAAAAAAAAATATTAAAAAATTTTTTTTTATAACTAAAAAATTTAAAAAAAAAAACAGTAAATAATTAAAATTTCAAAAACTTTTGCATTATTTACTTTTGACTTTAATAAATAATATATGATATTGATTATCATACAAGACAATAAAATGACGAATGACAAAATTTCGAGATTGTGAATAAAAGATTTTGATATGTAAATAAATCCTCTATATGCCAATTTGACATACTTTTTAATAAATATTACTATTAATTATTACTATTACTATTAATATTGATAATATAAATATAATATAATAAAAAATATAAATATAAAATAAACTAATAATTTATAAATAATAATAATAATAATTTATAATTTATTAATAAAATATAAATATAAATATAATATATATTTATTATAATAATTATATTAATTATTATTATTGTTAAAAAAATGTTTAACGTCCGTGAAGTATATCAATAATATAAGTAATAATAATAAAATAATTAATTAATTAATAATTAATTAATAATATTAATTATTATTAATATTTAATTATTATATTATTATATTGTATTATTATTATTATTACATTATATTATTATTGTTATCATTATTATTAGATGAATCATATTAATAGAAAAATCAAAAAATATATATATTTGTACCTAATAAAAAATACTTAAAAAATTATTTTTTTGTAATTTCATTATCACTTTTATATTATTATGCAATATTTTCCATAGTGTTAACACATGTGCTACATCATAATTTAACCAGAATCTTATGTTTATATATTGTGGAGAAATAATTATTTCACAAGAATCTATAAATGATTTATTAATAATATTAAATAATTATATAAAAGGAAAAAAAAAACTATTTTTTATTCATCAGGAAGAAAATAATATATATATATATATATGCGCGTGAAAGTTTGTAACGTAAGATTATTAACAAAAAAAAAGGGGGGGAAATACCCTTAGGAATCGAAGATATATAATGACCGTAATTGAAAACAAGTTTTTTGATGTAATCAGAATTATTAAAAATAAATAGAAATTATAAAAATATCAGAAGCTAATATTATCAGTGTGTGCTGCTATTAAAAGTCTATTATTAGATGAATGAATAAATTTTTTATTTCCCATTTTTTTTTTTTTTTTTTGCTTGTCACTTTTAGTTATATTTAATTTTTTTCTATTTTTGTTATATTAAATATTATTTATGGTTTTCTATTCAATAAATTTGTTTATTCAAAAATTCCGGATAAAATTAATTAATCATATTATTATAATTATTATTATTATAACTATAAATAATAATTATTAATATATTGTTAATTAATTATTATTGATATATTATTAATTATTTATTAATATATTATTTACTAATTATTATTAATATATTTTTTAATAATTGTTATTAATATATTAATTATTAATTATTAATTAATAAATAATAATGATAATATTTTTTTTAATTTTTGAATTAATTAATTTTTAATTGCAATAAATGCAATTTTTTTTTAAGAAAAATTTGCAAAAATAAAAATTGAAAATTTGTAACTGATGAGAGGAGAGAAATAATTAATTTTTTTTTTTTGTTTACAGTAAGTATACAGAAAGAGTGAAAGTTTTCTCTTTGACAATCGAGAGTCTGGAACCTTCCGGTTACGAAGAAATGATTTTATAGCGCGTATCTCACGACCTCGTGTCCTTGCATAATGTGAAGGTAAAATACAACTCATCTTTTAATTTTTGAAAATTGATTTCAATTTCTATATTAATTTTTTTTTTTTTTTAAATTCTTTCCTTATTATGAAATTACAAAAAAAAAAAACTATATTTTAAACAAACAATATCAAAAATATTTAAAGCACGTATTTATTTATTTATATATATATATTATATAAAAACTTTTGTTTCCTTCATTTTCTGACGAATTTTTCATTTTATCGCCTTTGTGTACAAACATTTAATTCAGATAAACAACGAAATTAATTTCAATTTACGTTGTGCTCAGCTGATAAAATAAAGACATTATAATTTCTCATATAAAATTCAATATTTCTCTCACACTCAAAGAAAATTTTTTTTTTTTTTAATCGTAAAACAACTGTCCTCTTAACTTAATTCCATTAATCAACATAATTTTCTTAATCTTAAGATGAATCTTTTTTTAAATATAAAAAAAAAGTTCATTTATGCGGAAAAATGATTTTAAAAGTCTGAAAAAAGTAGTATTTTTTTTATATAAAAAAAAAAAAAATGAATTTATATTTATTATTTTAACAGTGCGTTATTCATTTTATTTTTTAAAAACATTTTTTATCTATTAATTAATTAATATTTAGTTAATAAATAATTTTAATAATTGATTTTTCAATAATTTATTGTGTAATATAAATTTTACAAGTTAATTTTGTAAAAAATTAATTTTAATCATTTCTATAATAATTAATTTAAATTATATAATTAATGTTAATGAGAAAATAGAAAAGTTGAAAATAAAGGCAAATTTAATATAGTGGATGGTCGTTAATAATTTAATAATTGGTAGAAAAAAATAATATTCATTTTTAATAGACACATACGTCACTTATTATTTTTTTTCTTTTTTTTATATAATAAATATAGTAACAATTCTTAATAGAATTTCATTATGAATAAATTATGAGTATAATTAGCATCTCTCAAAAGATATATTGATTAGAAATTTTCACGTATAGATTAAAACACTTTCATATATTTATATATAGAAAAATTGTTAATTGATAAAAAAAAAATATATATATATATATATTTCAAATCAATTTTACACATATTTCATGTAATTAACATATATTTTAAGAAATTTTCTTCGAATTTTTAAAAATTCAAATATAAAAAGTTACATAAGAAAAAAATAATACAAAGAGCGCTAATAAAAATACAGAGAATAAAAAAATATATATAATGCCCAAAAAAAAAAAAATTACATAGAATAATTGTGAAAAAAAATAATAAAAAATCATAACAAGTGTAGAATAAGAGAAAATGAGTAGTGTCATTATTTGAAATTGTTTTACAAGAATATTAAAAAAAAATCTATATATATTTGTTTTAAATCTATTTCAACAATCTTGTTAAAGGACAATTTTTACATTTTAACAATTTATTTATAAATTTTTTTTTCATTTACTTATTTATTATTACTATTTTTTGTAATTGTTTATTTATTAATTATTTATTAATTATTTATTAATTATTTATTAATTATTTATTTATTATTAGTTATTATTTATTAATTATTGTTTATTAGTCATTATTTATTATTCATTAATTAATTATTATGAAATAAAAAATTTGTCAATAATTAAAAATTTTAATATAAAAAATTATAAATTATTAAAGGACATGTCCCCTTATGTTTTCAAATAAATAAATAAATAAAAAAATCAATTTGCAAAAAATAGATTTGGAAATAAAGAATTTCTCCACAGATAAAATTGTATATAATTTTAAAAATTTTGACAATTACATTTAATTTAAATATTTTCGAAAAATTCAATTTCTAAATAATATACACGATTTTAGAAAGAATTTTGTACATAATTTTCTATTCTTTTGAAAGCACATGAGGAATATGAAACTATATTAGAAGAGTAAAGAACACGTAAAGAATAATCGATAAACGAAGCTAAAAATAAAAACTATATAAACACATGAGAAATAAAATTGAAATCATAAAATGAAATCATAAAAAAAGAAATTATCCAACAAAAAAAAAAAAAATTAACTCACGTCGTAACGGATTCTCTTGACTCCCTTTTGGTCCAGAGCGAGAGACACGTCTTCTTCTTCTTCACGCGCGCGCGAGCAGAGGTCACTCTCTTCAAAAAAAAAAATCCTCCGCGCAAAACTTTTATAAATAAAATAAACACAGGTTTTTTTTTCTTCTTCTTCTTTTTCTTTTTGTCGCGCGTTTTTAAGAAAAACAAAACAATTTTTTATTTTAAATTATAAAATTAAAAATATTCCTTTATTAAAGTTGAATGATCCTCGACGACCCTTTTTGGTTGAGGAATCGATTTAACGCGCGCGCAAAAAAGCCGTCGTCGAGGATTTGTTTAATTTTTCAAAAAAAAATAAATAAATAAAATTTCACTTTTTGAAAATATAAAAAAAAATTTTTTTTCGAAAAAAAAACTTTTTTGTTTTGACACGAATCTTGACACGAACTGAATATATTATATATATATATATAAAATATATGTTTCCCACGTCCAGCCGATTCGAGGGTTCGGAGACAACTGCTGTGTCGACTTGCTGACTTGGAGAATCGTATAATCCACACCGTTTACCCGACGGCTGACGCTGACTACTTGGCTTTCAATTCACCACTGACTATATAGTGACCACTTGTTTTATATGTATGGCTATATATCTGATATACATTTGATATCGCATCAGATTGATACTTTTGCTTTTTCCAATTCTTTTTTTTTCTCTCTATCTCTCCTTTGTTTCGTACTTTTGTAAAGAAAAAATCACAAAAAAGGGTGTTAGCTTCTTGAGAAAAAAATTCTGTAATCTACAACCGTGATACACACGTACGAAAAAGAGATGCTGTAGAAATTTATCTCCGGAAACGTTTTTTTTTCCTCTTTTTTTAAGAGAAAAATCATTGAAGAAATATTCAATTATCTCGCGTTAAATTCCTTAGACTAACGTGTTTTCTAAAAGATTTTCCATTCATTGGAAAAAAAAAATTAATTTTGCTATGGAAACTATTGCTATGGTAATAGTTACTATAGTAACGGTGGCCATAGTAACTAACTGTTGCCATAGTAACTGGTACCATAGTAACTGGTACCACAGTAACTAATTGGCACCAACGTAACTGGTGCAATAGTAACTGGTACCACAGTAACTAATTGGTACCAAAGTAACTAATTGGCACCAAAGTAACTGGTACCATAGTAACTGGTACCATAGTAACTGGTACTAACGTAACTGGTACCATAGTAACTAGTACCATAGTAACTAGTACCAAAGTAACTGGTACCAAAGTAACTAGTACCACAGTAACTAATTGGCACCAAAGTAACTGGTACCAAAGTAACTTGTACCAAAGTAACTAGTACCAAAGTTACTGGTACTATAGAAAAAATAACTGGTACCAAAATAACTAGCACCAAAGTAACTGGTACCAAAGTAATTGGTACCACAGTAACTAATTGGCACCAAAGTAACTGGCACCAAAGTAACTAGTACCAAAGTTACTGGTACTATAGTAACTGGTACCATAGAAACAAACTGGTACCAAAATAACTGGTACCAAAGTAACTAGCATTAAAGTAATTGGTACCAAAGTAACAGGTACCAAAGTAACTGGTACCACAGTAACTAGCACCAAAGTAATTGGTACCAAAGTAACTAGCACCAAAGTAATTGGTACCAAAGTAACTGGTACCACAGTAACTAATTGGCACCAAAGTAACTGGTACCAAAGTAACTGGAACCAAAGTAACTAGTACCAAAGTTACTGGTACTTTAGTAACTGGTACCATAGAAACAAACTGGTACCATAGGAACTAGCACCAAAGTAACTGGTACCACAGTAACTAGCACCAAAGTAATTGGTAACAAAGTAACTAGCACCAAAGTAATTGGTACCAAAGTAACTAGCACCAAAGTAATTGGTACCAAAGTAACTGGTACCACAGTAACTAATTGGCACCAAAGTAACTGGTACCAAAGTAACTGGAACCAAAGTAACTAGTACCAAAGTTACTAGCACCAAAGTAACAGGTACCAAAGTAACTGGTACCAAAGTAACTGGTACCAAAGTAATTAGCACAAAGTAACTGGTACCATAGTAACTGGTACCAAAGTAACTAGTACCAAAGTAACTAGTACCGCAGTAACTAATTGGCACCATCGTAAGTGGTACTATAGTAACTAATTGGCACCAACGTAACTGGTACCACAGTAACTGGAAGTATAGTAACTAACTGTTGCCATAGTAACGGTTGCTGTGGAAACGGCTGCTACGGTAATAGTTATCATGAAATAGTTGGTAAAAATAATTTTTAATTTTAATATAATTATATTCATATTTATTTGTAAATAAATATGTAATATTTTTGTTTTGAAATGTTTCGCATAGAGATGGTTAAAAACGTATTGCGTGCGTTATGACAAGTCAATCATAAGAGAACTCCATTAAATTGAGCTGATTATGTTGTCATACTTACCTGACAGTGCAATAAATCCGATGTAATATTTTACATTATTATTAGTCCTTGCAAAATCTAGGAATATTCAGTTATTATTTTTTTTTGAACTTAAATATGAAAAATATCATTAATAAAATTGAAATTTTTTTTTAATAACGAAAATAAAATTTCACTTCTTTTTTGAATTTCTTTGAATTGTAGGGAAATTTCTTTGAAAATATTAGAACAAAAATTCATTTTTAAGAAAAAAATTTTTTTTGTGATATTATTTCTTTGTTCTCGCTTCTCTACATTATTGACGATATATTTTTTTCATATATATATGCGAAATAGATAAATGGAAGAAGCGCCATTTTGCCAGGGCTATTAGCGGAAAATACAAAGTTTAAATAGTCTGTAAAATAGCTTCCGATTACTGCTGACTTAGGTATACAGGATGTTGCAATTACTCTTGTTGGTAATTTAATATTTTCATGTTTAGAGCGATCGGTATATATATATATATATATATATATACATATGCGCGCATACGTTCCTTCTCTCACTACTGTCTTTATCTGCAATCTAAGTCATAAATTCAGTGGATGTAGTTATGAGGTACTCGTAACACTTTATATGCTCTAAAACTGTATATATATATATATACATACACACAAACTGAAAGCAATACTGACAAGTTAGAAATAAACAGAGTAAAAAAATATTTGCATATTTCTCTTTCTTTTTCATATATTTTATTTTATTTTTTTTTGCCTTTTGTTTGTTTACTATATCAATAGTTACTATTGGTACCAGTTACTATGGTACCATTAAGTTACTATAGTAACAGTAACATTGGTACTAGTATTATGTTGGTACCAGTAACTTTGGTACTAGTTATATTTTGGTACCAGTTACTTTGTTAGACAGTTACTATGGTACCATTAAGTTACTATGGTACCAGTAACATTGGTACCAGTTACTATGGTACTAGTTACCATGGTACCAGTTACTTTGGTACCAGTAACTTTGGTACTAGTTACTTTGGTACCAGTAACTTTGGTACTAGTTACTTTGGTACCAGTAACTTTCGTACTAGTTACTTTGGTACCAGTAACTTTTGTACTAGTTACTTTGGTACCAGTAACATTGGTACCAGTAACTTTAGTACAAGTAACTTTGGTGCCAGTAACATTGGTACCACTTATTTTGGTACCAGTTACTTTGGTACCACTTACTTTGGTAACAGATAATTTGGTACCAGTAACTCTGGTACTTGTTACTTTGGTACCAGTTACTTTGGTACCAGTTACTTTGGTACCAGTTACTTTGGTACCAGTTACTTTGGTACCACTAATTGTGGTACCAGTTAGTTACGTTGGTACTAGTTACTATGGTACCTGTTACTATAGTACCAATAACTATGGTACTAGATAGATCATGGTACCAGTTACTTTGGTACCTGTTACTTTAGTACCAGTTACTTTGGTACCTATTACTTTGGTACCTGTTAATTTGGTACCTGTTAATTTGGTACCAGTTAGTTACTTTGGTACCAGTTACTATGGTACCTGTTACTTTGGTACCACTAACTATGGTACCAGTTACGTTGGTACCAGTTACCATGGTACCAGTTACTTTGGTACCTGTTACTTTAGTACCAGTTACTTTGGTACCTATTACTTTGGTACCTGTTAATTTGGTACCTGTTAATTTGGTACCAGTTAGTTACTTTGGTACCAGTTACTATGGTACCTGTTACTTTGGTACCTCTAACTATGGTACCAGTTACGTTGGTACCAGTTACCATGGTACCAGTTACTTTGGTACCTGTTACTTTAGTACCATTTACTTTGGTAGCATTAACTTTGGTACCAGTAACTTTGGTACAAGTAATCCTGCTACCAGTTACTTCGGTACCAGTTACTTTGGTATCAATAATTATGGTACCAGTTACTATTGGTAACAGTTACAGTTGGTAACAGTAACATTCGGTACTAGTTACATTGGGTAACATTAACATTCGGTACCAGTTACATAGAGAACAATATCATTTGGTACCAGTTAAAATTGTTAACAATTACAATTGGTAACAGTTACAGTTAGAAACAGTTACATTTAGTAACAATTACAGTTGATGAATATTACATTTTTTAACATTTTATTAAATAATACTATTAATTACTAAAAATTACATTTAGTACTGAATAATAATTTTTTTTTTTTTGTTAATAAATATATCTCAATGAATATATTATCATTTAGACACCCGCATATTGCAGCATTGCTTTACTTGCAACTTCAGGATGAAAAGAAACAAAAAAAAAAAAAGTTCCTTTTATTTGCGAAAAGTCACGTGAAGAACAACACGTGTGTGGAATCAGTTCAATGCCATTTTATACACATTTTCCGAGCAAGTCCCTTCAACTTTTATTTTTCTATGTAACTCACTTTCAGGAAAGGCTATGTATATATATAGATATATATGCTTTAAGTTCTTCCTCGAGTAACTCTCTCACAAATACGCACGTGATTTTCTCGTTCGCCGTTGAATTTTATTGCACAGAATTGCAAATGAGAGGGACTTTTAGGTACGAATGTAACCAGTTCATTATTATTATTATATCCTTCAAAACTGTTAATTATCACGAACTTTCATAAATCTCGGGGGGAAAATAAAATATTTAATTTTGTCAGAATTCTGCCGTTTTAGAATTGGAATATATTATTTAGTTTTTGTTAACTGATATAAATGAAATTTTAATAAATAAATAAATTATTTATTGTTAATATAATTTAATTAATTAATTATTAATTATTAATTATTAATTATTCGTAATAAAAATTATAATTTAATATTATTAATAATGTAATAAACTTGTTATTATTATTATTATTATTAAATTAATTATAATAATTATATTAATATTAATAATAGTTATATTTATTATAGTAATAATAATAATAATAATATGTATTTATTATAATATTAATAATATATAATTACAATAATATTAATAATTATGCTAATTGTAAAAATTTTCAAAATTACTCTCTCGCTAATCAGAAAAATTGCAAAACAATATTGCAAGTGTCAAATAATAATTAATTTGTTACAAAAAATCGTATATAAAATCTTCTCGAAAATATTTATGAATGAATTTTTTTTTCCTTTGAAGAATAAATAAAATTTATGTTTCTCATTCGTAAAAATTTTTTCCTCTAAGAAATTTTTTTTTCCAATAGTCGTGAATGAGATAAAAAATAAATATTTGCAAAAAAAAAAAAAAAGTAAATAGATTCATTTTTATGTATAGATGTTTTATATATTAGAGTTAATTATTTCATGATTATCATTGTTGTGCTAACGACTGTGTGAAATCGTACGATTCCATGCTTTTGCATTATAGATTGATACATTAAATTTTTTTTTTCCATAAACTATATATATAAACAAATAAAGAGGAAATAGTTCCACTTCCTTATTTTTTTTTTCATACACAATAATCAATTTTATTTATTTATAATTTTTTTTTAAATTAAAAATTAAAATAGTAATTTTAATAATTTATAAACAATTTAAAAATTATTATTTTACGAAAATTAATAATTTAATATAAAAAATATTTATTTAATAAAAAAAAAATTTCATTAATTAAACGATAATGAAACGAATCTTTTTATTGATTTAAAAAAAAAAATGGAAGAATAAAAAAAATTGTTCCAATTAATTTTCTCAAGTTGCTATTTTAAACTTCTTTTTTTCTCCCCCATGCTTTTCTAATTATTTGTTTTTTCTTTATTTTTTTTTTTTTTTTGCAATTAGATTATGAAAAATAATTGTTTGTTTACCAGTGATGTAAGAATTTTTGTTTCATAGTAATATTATAAAGAGACTTGATTGTTAGACATATGGAACTGATCTCTCTGGGGTTTTTGTACGTTTGTGATAATGATTGTGAGTCAGCAACACAATGAGTGGATAAATAATTTGCAGAATGTGTTTTCCTTTTTGCTATATAAGTTTAAAAGAAATATATAATGTATAAAAGGAGACGAAGTCTATATATCGTCACTATAAGATAAATAATATTATAAAAAAAAAAAATTGGGTCAAATACAAAACCCATATTATACAAAGTCTTATTATTTATTATTGATGAAAATGTTGTAAATAACAAAAAACACAAATAATTCATAAATGTCATGATAACAATTTTTTTTAATTAATAATGAGATTACACAAATTTTTAAACAAAAGTTTATTGATTTTTTTTGAAAATTTTCGGTTATCAAAATTTTTTAATGAAAATAAAAATTTTTTTTGATAAATATTTTCGAAACTATTCATTTTTTTTTTACATTTCAAGTCTAGCTTTTTTTTACGAAGGGAATAGAAATTTTTCCTTATAAGATTGAAATATAAATTATAATATGTAAATTGTTTTTTTGAAATTGGTAAACGATGAAATTTGCATTCGTAAAAATTTTTTTTTTTATTTTCAATTCAAGGATGAAAAGAAATCGTGTTATTAAACCACCAATGTCAGATATATGAATCATTCACTTTATGAGTGCAATTTTTAAATACATAAATAATAAAATTGAATAATTATAAAATATGTTAATCGATATATAATAATATTTGAATATAATTATATTATTACTGAAAAAAAAAAAATGTTTAATGCACAAGTTTCGCAAGAAATTATAAAATCCTATAATTAAATATATTAAAAAATAATTTGTTTAATATTTTTTTTTCAATATACCTATTCATTTTATTAATTAATTATAATTATATATTAAAAATTAATAATTATTTTTATATTATTTTATTATTTTTTTATTATTATTTTATTAAAAGTAATAAATAATAATAAATAAAAATAAGTATCTATATATATATATATAAATTAAATCTCAATAAATAAATAAATTTGTTAATTTGGGTTGTAAATTAGAAATTTATTCTTTATAAAATTGAGTAAAGATTTGCTTTTGATGAAGACAATTATTGAAATTAAAATGATTATTGTTACTCTTTATCGGAAATAGAAAAAAAAATTGAATATGAGTTCGCTAACTCTCTCGAGTGAAAAGATTAATAAATGCGTGTGACTCAACGTCAACATTATTATGAGGCGTCAATAGACGTTATTGAAGCGATAACTTTTGCCGACGTATATAGTCTTGTCATTTTTCTTATATTGAGACGAGACGAAAGACTTCTAGGAGCCGTTGTCCTGTGTTTGCTCGAATGATAATAATTGCATTGATTATTATTACTTTGGTCAAGAGCAGAAATCAAGGGCTTTTTTCAATTTTCATCATCATAAAATTATTTATTTTCTTTCTTTTTAATTTTCAATTTTTATTTATTTTTTTTTTCATTGTCATTTTTTGTTACAATTGTTTACCAAAAAATTTCTTTAATTTAAAAAAAGGGAGAGAGGGATAATAATTTTTCTTTAAAGAAGGATAAAAAAAATTAATATCTCGGTACCAGTAACTTTGGTACCAGTTACTATGGTAACTGTAACTTTGGTACTAGTTACTTTGGTACCAGTAACTTTGGTACCAGTAACATTGGTACCAGTAACTTTGGTACCAGTAACATTGGTACCAGTAACTTTGGTACCAGTAACTTTATTACCAGTAACTTTGGTACCAGTAACATTGGTACCGCTTACTTTGATAACAATTACTTTGGTACCAGTAACTTTGGTACTAGTTACTTTGGTACCACTTACTTTGGTAACAGTTACTTTGGTACCAGTAACTTTGGTACCAGTAACATTGGTACCAGTAACTTTGGTACCAGTAACATTGGTACCAGTAACTTTGGTACCAGTAACATTGGTACCAGTAACTTTGGTACCAGTAACATTGGTACCAGTAACTTTGGTACCAGTAACTTTATTACCAGTAACTTTGGTACCAGTAACATTGGTACCGCTTACTTTGATAACAATTACTTTGGTACCAGTAACTTTGGTACTAGTTACTTTGGTACTAGTTACTTTGGTACCAGTAACTTCGGTACCAGTAACTTTGGTACTAGTAACTTTGGTACAAGTAACTTTGGTGCCAGTAACTTTGGTGCCAGTAACTTTGGTACCAGTAACATTGGTACCACTTACTTTGGTAACAGTTACTTTGGTACCAGTAACTTTGATACTAGTTACTTTGGTACCAGTTACTTTGGTACCAGTAACTTTGGGACCAGTAACTTTGGGACCAGTAACTTCGGTACAAGTAACTTTGGTGCCAGTAACTTTGGTACCAGTAACATTGGTACCACTTACTTTGGTAACAGTTACTTTGGTACCAGTAACTTTGGTACTAGTTACTTTGGTACTAGTTACTTTGGTACCAGTAACTTTGGTAGCAGTAACTTTGGTACAAGTAACTTTGGTGCCAATAACTTTGGTACCAGTAACTTTGGTACTTGTAAATTTGGTACAAGTAACTTTGGTACAAGTAACTTTGGTGCCAGTAACTTTGGTGCCAGTAACTTTGGTACCAGTAACTTTTGTACCAGTAACATTGGTACCACTTACTTTGGTACCAGTAACTTTAGTACTAGTTACTATTGTACCAGTAACTTTCGTACTAGTTACTTTGGTACCAGTAACTTTGGTACAAGTAACTTTGGTGCCAGTAAATTTAGTACAAGTAACTTTGATACCAGTAACTTTGGTACAAGTAACTTTGGTACAAGTAACTTTGGTACCAGTAACTTTGGTACCACTTATTTTGGTACCAGTTACTTTGGTACCAGTAACTTTGGTACTAGTTATTTTTCAATTTTTATTTTTTTTTTTTTTAATTGTCATTTTTGTTACAAATTTTTACCAAAGAATTTCTTCAATTAAAAAAAAGGGAAGGGGAAAAATAATTTTTCTTTAAAAATGAATAAAAAAAATTAATTTGACAAAAAAAAAATTTTTTTTTTAAATATTACTTGAAAATAATTTTTTTAATAACCTTTTTTGGTAAATTCGAAATCGATAATTTTTAAATGCCAGAATATTTACAATTTTTTTTTTTTTTTGATTTCAGGAAAGCAGTTTTTGAAATAAAATTATTTTTCAATGGAACTAGAGAAGAACTTTTTTTCTTTACTGGCGCCTCGAACGTCTTTTTTAATCTTAAGGAAGGTAAGTAATAAAAAATAAAAGATAGAGAAAAGAAAAAAAACATTTTGCAGTGATTACCCACATTTCCTGGCAAACTGTCTGATGTATGAACTATGTCGGCCAAGGACAAAAGTATCTTTAAAGAATTCGTTATAACGCCTTGGGGCAAAGAATCACGAAGAATAACATTAAACACGTGTGTCTGTACATAAATAAATAAGTTTACAAATCAACAAAGTTAAGTGACAAAAGTGTGATTTGTCTCTCTTGTTGTTTATCTTGTCCTTGTCAAAAAGCAAAATCGAGAGAGAATAACAATTGCAAATTCTCTTTTTTTTTTTTTTTTTTTTTTTAATTATAAAAAATGACAAAGTGGAACTTTAAATATGAGAGAGAAAAAAATATTTCTCTCCTAGAGCTAAATAAATATTTGTGTATAATAAATAAATTTTCAATAAAAAAAATTTTTTGAATAAAAAAAAAAATTCTATTTATTTGGAGCGCCATTTATTTTATTAAAAAAAAATTTATCTAACTTTGGATGAAAAAAAAAATTTGGTCATATTTTTTTTTTTTTTTTTTTTTTTGATTCAAATAAATTATATTTTGTTTCGATAAAAAAATAATTTTTAGATGCATCACGCGCTATAATAATTAAAATAATGTTATAAAAATAAAATGAGTGATTTTTGGCGTATTTTCAATGCCTTCTGCTTTCTTTAATCCTCTCCAGGTACGACCTTGTAGACGACGATCGTGACCTAATCGTCTTGTGTGTGGTGTTATACAACCAGATTCGAGCGTAACATAATTATTGCAATGACCACTTCGCGGTATATCCCGTGCCTGCAAATCAACTTCGATTCGTCGTTAATGACAGTACTTGAAATTTAAAACAATGGACGTACTTTTTCTAATTTTTTTTTCCCCCCTATTTTTAAAAAATGTCTTTTCTTGAACAAAAAATCTCTACCTTCATTGATAAAACAAAAATTGAGGAAAAAAAATTTACTACCATAATAATAAATTTTGTAATTATTGGTAAAAAATATTTTTTTCATCCACAAACAAAAATTTCCATAAAAAAAAATTTTCTTCAATTTTTTTTTAGTTTAAAATTTATTTATTTAATTATTTAATTATTTATTAATTTTTATTATTTTTTTTCCATAATTAAAAAAAAAAATTTAATATCAAATATCTTAAAATTAGAAAGAATAAATATTTTATTTTTATATTGAAAAATATATTTTTTGCTCCCTTTTTTGCATTTTAGAGTACTCCCTAGTTGATTTACAATTATAATTATTTGTTTTGAATAAAGCACATATCGAGCATATTATGACGATCGCTAGTTTTAACTGGATTTTTGCGGAAATAGAAAGTTAAGGGCGATTGTAAGAGGATCTTTGCACTTTTGTTCTGAATGCTCGTCATTGGTTGTGGCAAAATAACAAATAATCATAAACCTCATTATCGGCAAAAAAAAAAAAAAAAAAAAAAATTCTCTTAAACACAAAAAAAACAAACTAAACTTATCTGTTGTATATTAAATTTCTAATTTAATAGGAAAATAATTTTTTACAATATTTATTTATTTGTTTAATTAAATAAATAATTAAATAATTAGTTAACAATTTAATTATTTTATTTGTTCATTTCATTTATAAATAATAAATATATATTTCCTTACAAAAAAGATATAGAACCATTTTTTTTTTTTTTTTTTTGAAACAATATAAAAAATAAATAAAAGAAAAAAAAAGTGCCTTGCTCTAAAATAAAAAGTTCGATTTACGAAACTTTTATAACTGATTCCTGATGCGTGCAAGACGTTATTGTACGCGCATAAATACTTTATACGACATTATTGTGCAATTTGATCAGACGAATATTTTAATTTCTTTTGCTAATTCACTATTTATCGTGTATAAATTTAATTATGTAATATGAATCACAATTGACTCGCGAGAGGTTTATTAAAAAAATGACTATATAATTTCGCCTATATAAAAAAATTGTCAACGAAAAATAATAACAAAAAAATTATATTTTCTACTTTAGAAAAAAGAAATTTCTGACAACTTACTTATAAAAAAAAAAACTTTTGGTTGAGAAAACTATCCTTTCTACTTAAAAATAAATTTCGTCTGACAAAACTTTACTTATTCTACTTAAAAAGTGATGAGTATTTCCTTGATAAAAAAAACACTTTTATATATATAGAAAAAAAATTTCCTATAAAAAAAAAATTATTTTTCTGTTTTAAATTTTGATATTTAAAAATAATTAAAATATTAATAAATAAATGTTTCCTTTATTTAAATAAAAATTATTTGGTTCAAATAAATTTTTTTCCATTGTTAGTATATTGATAATTTTTTATTCTTCATTAATTAATTATTTAATCATTAATTAATTATTTAATTATTAATTAATAATTAATTTAATATTATAATAATATTTAATAATATTAAAATAATTATTATTTAATATAATATAATATTTATTTGAATCGAAGAAAAAAAAATTAAATATTTTTCAAAACAATTCATATTTTTTTTATGATTTTCTTCATTTTTCATAAAGCGACACAATGGCAATAAATTGTCAAAAATGAATTAGATGCAAATTTTATCGGCTGTCATCGACAAATTGTTTTTCTCAGCTCATAAATTTTATATTGTGTTAAAAAAAAAAAAAAATCATGATTTTTTTTCTTTAAATAATTGCAAATTTTACACCTCTGTGAATTCACTGTTTATAATGATAAGGGATCGAAAATGGAGTAGTCGGTCAAGTATGCACGATAACTTTACAATTTACGATTTACGAGAGAATGAGTTAGAGAGAGGGCCTTAACTTTTACAACGAGATATATACCCTTGAAAATCTCATTTACACGTTTAAAGAAAAAAAAAATTATTTTGTCTCTTTCTATGATAGTTTCAATTAGAGTGTGTAACGAAATATTGCTCTCAAAGAGTTTACTACATATTACTATGAATAATTTTTTTTTTTATTTCTCTATTTCTCTATTGTTTCCTGGAATTAAAGGAATTATAGTTACATAAAAATCTAAGATAGATTCAGACTCATTGATTATAATCTGTCTTTTTTTTGAGTACTATATATGCATATATATTTTCTGTATGTTTAATTGTTTTCAATTGTAACTTTATAATGTCCGCTTGATATGAGATTTGTAATAACATGTTTTGAAGGAAACGAGAATGTAACCAGCTTCGTTTAAAGTACAATGTAGTACATTATACATATGTACTGAATTCATTCACTTTTATTCTCGATTTCTGCAACAAAAATAAAAAAAATTAAGGCCTTCTTTTTTGAATTGAAAAAATATTTTCTTTAATTAATTGAATTTTTGTAAATTGAAAAAATACATTAATTATTTATTAATTAATAATTGATAATTATCAATTTTTGAGTTATTAATATTTAATTATTAATTACTAACAACACAAGCGTGCAAATGCGCCCTACAAAGAAGCCATTGGTCAACATTCTTATCTAAAAATTTTTTAATCATTATGATAATGTAATTTTATGATTCAAAAGAATGACAAAATTCCCAAAAAAAATCCAATTTTTCATAGGCAGACGATTTTATTGCATATTCTTGCACAAAATACACCTAAAAGTGTAGAAAAAAATTGACTCCCAAATCCGAGTAGAGGAAGACCTTTATTACCACCAAAAAGTCATCCAGGACTACAAAAAACTTCCCAAAAAAATTAAATTTTTCTTAGGCACAAGATTTTATTGTATATTCTTGCACAAAATACACCAAAAAGTGTAGAAAAAAATTGACTCCCAAATCCGAGTAGAGGAAGACCTTTATTACCACCAAAAAGTCATCCAGGACTACAAAAAACTTCCCAAAAAAATTAAATTTTTCTTAGGCACAAGATTTTATTGTATATTCTTGCACAAAATACACCAAAAAGTGTAGAAAAAAATTGACTCCCAAATCCGAGTAGAGGAAGACTTTTATTACCACCAAAAAGTCATCCAGGACTACAAAAAACTTTCCAAAAAAATTAAATTTTTCTTAGGCAGAAGATTTTTTTGTATATTCTTGCACAAAATACACCAAAAAGTGTAGAAAAAAATTGACTCCCAAATCCGAGTAGAGGAAGACCTTTATTACCACCAAAAAGTCATCCAGGACTACAAAAAACTTCCCAAAAAAATTAAATTTTTCTTAGGCAGAAGATTTTCTTGTATATTCTTGCACAAAATACACCAAAAAGTGTAGAAAAAAATTGACTCCCAAATCCGAGTAGAGGAAGACCTTTATTACCACCAAAAAGTCATCCAGGACTACAAAAAACTTCCCAAAAAAATTAAATTTTTCTTAGGCACAAGATTTTATTGTATATTCTTGCACAAAATACACCAAAAAGTGTAGAAAAAAATTGACTCCCAAATCCGAGTAGAGGAAGACCTTTATTACCACCAAAAAGTCATCCAGGACTACAAAAAACTTCCCAAAAAAATTAAATTTTTCTTAGGCAGAAGATTTTCTTGTATATTCTTGCACAAAATACACCAAAAAGTGTAGAAAAAAATTGACTCCCAAATCCGAGTAGAGGAAGACCTTTATTACCACCAAAAAGTCATCCAGGACTACAAAAAACTTCCCAAAAAAATTAAATTTTTCTTAGGCACAAGATTTTATTGTATATTCTTGCACAAAATACACCAAAAAGTGTAGAAAAAAATTGACTCCCAAATCCGAGTAGAGGAAGACCTTTATTACCACCAAAAAGTCATCCAGGACTACAAAAAACTTCCCAAAAAAATTAAATTTTTCTTAGGCACAAGATTTTATTGTATATTCTTGCACAAAATACACCAAAAAGTGTAGAAAAAAATTGACTCCCAAATCCGAGTAGAGGAAGACCTTTATTACCACCAAAAAGTCATCCAGGACTACAAAAAACTTCCCAAAAAAATTAAATTTTTCTTAGGCACAAGATTTTATTGTATATTCTTGCACAAAATACACCAAAAAGTGTAGAAAAAAATTGACTCCCAAATCCGAGTAGAGGAAGACCTTTATTACCACCAAAAAGTCATCCAGGACTACAAAAAACTTCCCAAAAAAATTAAATTTTTCTTAGGCACAAGATTTTATTGTATATTCTTGCACAAAATACACCAAAAAGTGTAGAAAAAAATTGACTCCCAAATCCGAGTAGAGGAAGACCTTTATTACCACCAAAAAGTCATCCAGGACTACAAAAAACTTCCCAAAAAAATTAA